CCGCCCCATGCCCGCTCCTGTGTTTTAACCGCGTGTTCCCGGTGCTTCCCTAGTTCTGCGAGGAGTTCAAGGAGAAGTGCCCCATCTGCGTGCCCTGCGGGCTGAAGCTGGCAGAGAAGACGCAGACGGCCATCGTCCGGCACTTCGGCCTTCAGATCCTGGAGCATGTGGTCAAGTAAGGCAGCTCGTTCCGCCGCCTGTGCCGGGGAGGGAGATGGCCTGCTGCCACACAGCCGCTGGTGCGGGCTCTTCTCCCAGCCCCACACCTCCTGCTTCAGGGAGGTACTTGCATGTCTGTTCTGCAGCAGAGAACAGTTGCTATCCAGTTCTGTTTCTTCCCTGCTCTGTAAAGGAGAGATAAAAATGGCTTTCAGGCAGGTTGGGAAGGTTAATTCGCCAAGCACTAAGACGCATTGACATTGCAAGGTGTAAACAAGCACCCAGGGTTATCAGTAGGTCTTTGCAGTGTTCTCTGTCTTCAGCGTTATGCTAACAAAGAGGCTTTGTATTAGTTCAGTTCTGAGACTCCTCTCTGCCGCCTCTACAGACCTGATGCTTTGTGCGTTTGCTGCTGCACCCCATGTGTGTTGATCTCAGTGGTGCACGCCCATTTGCCAGCAGCAGTTTTAACTCAGCCTTTTCATTAAGGGATTGGGCACTGGCAGAGCCTGTGAGCTGTAGTGTTTCTCTAGGTAAAGAAGCAGTGGTTGCAAAGCAAGTCAGAGATCTTTATAAATATTTTGACTTAGTGTCATGTTGTTTCTAAACTCTTTCAAACAGGTTCCGCTGGAACAATATGCCTCGCCTAGAAAAAGTTTATCTAAAGAACAATGTCATGGGCCTCATATCCAGTGTAAGTGCCTTCTAACCCAGACTGTTATCTGACACATGATTCTGTCACCTGGAGGTAGAAAGTGGGAGTGAAAGGAAAGAGGATTCCAGTTACTTAGCACATGGGACCTGAGTTCAGTTGTGCATTTCATTACTTTCTTGCTGTGCATCCCTAGTTGTTCCAGGGATTTTCTCTGTCTTTTATTTAGGTCAATAACCATGTCACTTCACATGGCAGGAAGTTATGAGGCTTGTATAATGTATATACAGTGCTTTTAGTTTTTTTAGGAGGCAGTTCAGTTTAGATGGGTGTTCTTATCCTTTGCAAGAATACCAAAGTCATTATCTTAGTAGTGTTTTCTTTACCATGATTACTCTCGTGATCATGTGACCTTTCAAGGAAAATCCTTTTGGTCTCGGAGTTCACTAGCTGTGGGTGTTTGGGAGTGTAGGAGTGTCACCCAAGGTCGCTGGGATGGAGAGTTGCTCATGGTTGTGTTTCGTTGGTTTTATTTTCTGTGGTTTAGAATATTTGCAACCACTGTGCTTTGCAGGTCAGTATTACAAACGTTTAATGTTTGTTGTTCTGATAACTCTGTCCCTCTGTCTCAGGGAACTCAGAGTATTCTGGAGGAGGAAAGTCACATTAAGGATGTTCTGTCTCGCATTGTGGTGGAGATGATAAAGCGCGAATGGCCTCAGCACTGGCCTGACATGCTGAAGGAGCTGGATACCCTCTCCAAGCAAGGGGTATGGGACACATCTGTCTGTTCTCTTCTGCTTGGTCATAGCATGGGTTTTGGTATTCTGTCATCCTGAGGAAAGCCTAATTCACTTGTGGTCAGGTGAGACAGGCTGATGATGGAATCAAAAATCCCTGTAAGATTCAGTTGTTCTAGGAGATGATTTAAGCAAAGAGAGGACAATTCTCCTGTCTTATTTTTCCAAGGTGTGACTTGTATCTTCATGTATGGTCACTTTCTGCAAACATCTTTGGCCTAGTTTCCAGAGATTTTAATCTTTGAACTGTGCTGATGGTGTGTATTTCCTTTTGGGACATCAGGAAACTCAGACGGAATTGGTGATGTTCATCCTCCTACGTTTAGCAGAGGATGTAGTGACTTTTCAAACTCTGCCTACCCAGCGGCGACGAGATATCCAGCAAACCCTCACTCAGAACATGGAGAAGATCTTCAGCTTCCTCCTAACTACCCTGCAGCAGAACGTCAACAAGTACAGACGCATGGTAAGAGTCTCCTTTTCTTTAGTTTAGCCAGTGCTGGAGGTGTTTAGGAATTGGGATGCAGCTCACAAGTTGTTGGGGAGGCAAGTGTGGAGACTTTCTGAAATCCATTGCTTTCACTGTGAGCAGGGATCTGCTGTGGCCTGGGAAGCCGAGAGACTGAACACATGAGGTTGACAGGGTTAGTGTTCATAGTTTGGATTTGCTAGTGAAAATAGCTTGCGTGGATTGTGCCTCATCCGTGCTGTTGGAATGCTCCGCTGACACTAGGGTTGTATGGCTTAGCAAACAAAAGGTGTGGTTGTGGCAGAAACAGGTAGATTTGGGATAGTTTCTGTAATGCACAGTGATAAAGAGGTGCGATCCTGGGCTTGCATCTGCTCTCTTATGCTGCAGTGGTGTCTTTGTGGTGATGCACAAAAATGCAAGTGTTTGATGTCTCTGCATTGCATCTGGGCCTCTATGGTTTTTTTCTCTGACAGCTCAGGTCAGGAAGCCCTTTTTTGTTAAGTTGTCGTGAGGAATGCTCTTCCATTTTGTGTAAAGAGACTTCTTTCCTGAATTCTTGCCTAGAGTCAGAGATGAGCAGGTTGGTCAAGGTGGATGGCAAAGGCAAGTCTCTGTCCTGGTCTGTTCCTGGGAGAAGGAAGTGGATTTGAGGGCAAAGCACACTTGAGAAACCAATCTAGAAATAAGTTGCTTAGATGTATCTCTTGTTCTTTTTTTTTTTTTTCCCTGTGAATTAAAATTCAGTTACAGTAAATGTGAAACTGGGAGTCAATGAAAAACCCCCTCCTGCATGACTTTCCTGGTGCATTGACAGGCTGAACAAACCCACCTGTTGAGCACACAGTTCTCTGTGCAGTTCCTGGTGGTGGGAGGGAAACCCTGGTGCATTTTGTAGTCTGGTTGAAATGCGTTTCCAGGTAAGGTTTGAATTGCAGCGCTTGAGGCTCTGAAATTGTGGCTGCTTCTGCTAACGGTGGAATCTTTCTGATTGGCAAGGTTGGAGCACCCCAGGAACAAGAAGTCCTCACCACTCCACAGGTTAGATGATCTTTGGGATGTTTGCACAGGGTAAATTCTGAGGGTTGGGTGCTCAGTTGCCTGTTTGCACACTGAGAATGGGGGAGATGCTGGACAATTCCCCAAGACCATAATGATCTGCAGTGCTTAGAAGTATGCAGTTCTGGTATGGTGGCTCAGTTGTTAAATGTTTGAGATATGGCCAGATTAACTTAAATCACTGCACTGAATACATTGATGGACAGAGTTCCAAACCAGAACTTTGCAGCGAAAAGACATGCTCGTGGTGTCTGCATTAAATCAAACCTGAGTGTCTGAGGGACTCATTTGCATAGTCAATTAGTTGGTGCAAGCAGTGTATTGCTGCTGTTCAGTATTTGGAATTGGGAGTCAGGCTGTAAGCTCTTGCCCCAGCTCTCTCTCCAGCTGCCTGTCTGACTGTGGACAAATTGCTTGCCCTTTTCAGACATCAATCTCAGTGCGTAAGAGCCACCATCATCTTTCAGAGTCTGGCTTTTGAATGTAAGGTGCTCTAAAAAGTCAAATGTTTCTTCCCTGGAAGCTTCCAAGAAGCACCAAAATGCCTTTCCTTCTTGTCCCCTGTGTCTCCCTGGTGCCTGCTGACTGGAGTGTCATCTTCTGGATAAGAAGGAAATTGTGGCTTAACTTGCAATTCAAAGTCCTGTTGTCTTGCCTGCCAGGGGGCTGTGGAGGTGGTTATGATGGTTACAGCAATGTCCTAAGCAGGAGACTGTTGCAGCCTCCTTCACTGGGGAGCTGTTCTCTGAAGCTGCTTCTCGCCGCGTTCTCAAGAATAAGCCTGTCCAGCAGTGGCTGGGTGGAAGTGTGCATGTGCTAATAGCTGCTCACTTAACCATCTCCTGTTTTCTTTTTCAGAAAACTGATCTGACTCAGGAGCCAAAGGTGAGTGGAGCTATGCATGAGTTAGTGCATTCGTCATTCTTAAGACCAAGATTGCTTAGAACTAGGCTTTTCCCAGGCTTTGGAGTCTATTACCTGCAGTTTGATTTGTTCACCCCTAATACAAAATACTTGTGAAGAGGAAAGTGAGGTGTGGCAGCAGAAGGGTCTAAGCTTCTCACTCTCTCAGGGTGGTTCCTGGTACTGTTTTTCCAGGGAGCAAACTGCTTTAGACAGGAATTTGTGTTTCTCTCTGGCTCTGACCTCTTGCCTCCTCTCTTTTCACAGGCCCAGGCGAACTGCCGCGTGGGGATAGCAGCACTCAACACCTTGGCTGGCTACATTGACTGGGTGGCCCTGAGCCACATCACAGCAGACAACTGCAAGCTCTTGGAGATGTTGTGTCTCCTCCTAAACGAGCCTGAGCTCCAAATAGGAGCAGCAGAGTGTTAGGAAAGTGAGTTCTTCCTCCTCTACATCTCTGGCTTTGCTTTGTTTTCCTCCTGTTCTCCTATATAATTCTTCAGATAGAGCAACGATATCTTCGCCCCTTTATTTAAGAAACAAAATTAAAATTTGGCTGCTTGTGCTAATGCTATTCAGTGTAAATGGCATGCCAGCACAATACATACAGCAACTTTTGGAAACCCATCCAACCTGTGCTTGCCTTTCCCTCCAGTGCTGGAGATCCCCACTGACTTTTTCCCCTCACTTTCTACAACTGTGAAGTGGGAAATACTGTGTCATCTGGCAGATCAGAGAAATGACAGCAGGATGTAGACAGGTGATTTGACCCACATGTTCACAAGCAGCTTAGTGTCAGGGCTGAGTGTTTATCAGCTGCCTTTAACTGGTCTGCCACGAAGAAGAGATTAAATGTCTCAGGATCAGTTTTTCAGTTTAAAGTTCTTGTGGTGGAATTGCTTGAGGAAATTTCTTGACATCAGCAATACCTTAGAGTTTTTGGCAAGTTTTAACTAAAATTACTCGTGGACTGTAAGCCTCTCCCCAGATAGAAGGACATCTGGGGATGTCCTAATTTGACTTGCAGATAAAAATAAGTAGTTATGTAGATGGGAATAAATAGTTGTGTTCTAATTGAGGCATTTGGCGTATTTTATACATAGGGCAAGCTGGAGGATCGGAAGCCTCTGATGGTCTTGTTTGGAGATGTTGCCATGCACTACATTCTCTCTGCTGCCCAGTGAGTACCATCCTGCTGCTGTAATGTCACACAAAACTGCATACAAATGGTTTTGTAGACGGGATTTGCAAAACAGAATTACTGCTTAACTGCAGGAAGCGGGGACTGGGTTAGGAGAGAACAAAACCACCATTTCTCTTGCAAAACCTGAAAAACTGCAGGTTTTTTCAAATCCCATAATTGAAGGACAAAGTCGTGTAAATATCACAGCTCCCCCAGCTTTCTTTTTCAGCCTGAAACTGATCAGAGAGGAAGTTCTAGAGGTTTTAGATGCCAATAAAGCAGTAATAGCAAATAATGATAATGGCAAAGAAAATCCCACTGCATAAAAATCAAATTGCTCTAGTCCTTTTTTTATCTATAAGATAGATAGCCGTGTGCCTGTTGCCTACAGCACAAGTAACTGTGATCCTGTTTTTCCTCTCCCTTCATTCCCAGGACAGCTGATGGAGAAGGCCTGGTGGAGAAGCACTATGTTTTCTTGAAGAGACTTTGCCAAGTTTTGTGTGCATTGGGCAGCCAGCTGTGTGCGTTATTAGTAAGTTTCTACCAATACCAGCAACAACCGTGGCAAGGCTAGTTTTTAGGGCAGGGGGTGAGGCATCTCTGATCTAAGGTAGGACCAAAGTTCTCTCTGTACCTTTGGTACAGAGACACATTTGGAAAATACAGAAACGCTCTACTTGCAAGTGGGATAACTATCCTGCCAAGTCATAGGAATGTAGAATGGAGGGACCCTGTCTGATTCCAAGCTTCTGCTGTCATGACTAATTTTCTATAACCTGTGTAAACTGCCAGAACTTCTTTGAAAGTTGGTCAGGTTTTTTGCTCTGTACTGCTACAGAAAAACTGCTTTAGGAAATTACTCTTTTACTGGAAACCTTTTTAATTTCCGGGTTAAAATAACTCAAAAGGATACATGGTGTTGTCCCACCAAGGTTCTCTGAAGCTGAAGGAAGAAACAGGTTTTTTCCTGCTCTCCACATTTCTGATGCTTTGTGTCAATCTTGAGATGAAGATGCACATTGATACTTTGTATGCCATGCTGGCTGCTGAGTTCCTGCTCCCTCCGTTCAGTCCAGTGCTTTGCAGTAAAGAAGTTAGGCTTGTGAGAGGTGCTGCTCGTAGGGAGACTGAGGAAGCCTGTGCAAGTGATAGAGCAAGGTAAATTCTCACAAGGAGGGAAAGGGGAAAAAAAAAAAAGCCAAAACCTTTGAGAACTTACCCCTAAAAAGAATGGATAGCAAACAAAAGGTGTGTTATTACTTGCAGTGACTTTACTGGCTGTTAGGCAGTGGAAGCTGTTAGTCTGTTAATGAAGTAATGAGGTGGAGATTTGAGTTCTCTCATTCCTATTCACTCAGGAGAGGCAGCACTGAGCTGTACAGCTCCAGAACAGGGATCCTAAGGGCCCTAGGTCATACTGTGATTAATGAGGAGCAGCAAAACCTTGAATTTATGGCTCTGGGCAAAGCTTGCTTTCTTGACAAACATCTCACAAAGTTACTGGTGGTGTCCATACATTAAATACAGGAAACATTTGGTGGAATTACAGCAAAATCATCTGGGTGTATATGTGAAATTCTGCAGTTGTGAATTACTCCACTTCGGTACTGCTGGGTGGGCTTGACCCAATAGGAGTAAATTTGTCACTCATGGCAGCAGCAGCGGATGTGAATTTGGTTTTAGCAGAACTCCACTGTCTGAGAAGTCACCCTTTATTCTTGAAGAGTGGTGCTGTTTCCAGGAGCCCCAGGCTGCTCAGCAAAACTTGCTACTCCTCTATACTGGTATCAGTAAAAAATCACAGTTGTTCAGTATTTTGTCTCTGCCCCTTTACAGTCTGCGGCCTTGTAGTGCTTCTGCTTTACCCAGAAACATAGCACTTTTAAGTCCAGCATGACATAGGGTTAGTATTTTGTCTGAAATTGTTTGTATATTCTTCATAGGGCTCAGATTCTGATGTTGAAACACCACCCAACTTTGGAAAATACCTTGACTCTTTTTTAGCCTTCACAACCCATCCCAGCCAGGTATGTAAAGGCCTGGAACTCTTGTGTGTATTTATGTAAGAATGTGTTAATTGAACTAACCTGTAATAGACAGCAGCACTTGAACTGCCAAATACTGCTCTCCATTTCAGCCGAAGACCTGGAAGACAGAGTGGTTTCTTCTGCATTACCACTCTGTTAGGAAAACAGGGACACAGACTGACTCAGATGCTGAGTACAAAGTGTGGAATTTGCAGTCAGACCTAGTATTTACTTAAAGACTTGGCATTCTGGAAATTTATGCCTGAAAGGTGCCTTAGGCCCAGCTGAATAGTCACTGTAATTTGCTGTTACCTTCTGATAGCAACACTTAATGCTAGCAGTGGAGATTCCAGCACTGACATCCTTCTCTTTTCTCCCCCAGTTTCTGCGCTCTTCTACCCAGATCACATGGGGAGCCCTCTTTCGGCATGAAGTTTTGTCTCACGACCCCTTGTTGCTGGCTATGATTCCCAAATACCTCCGAGCATCTATGACCAACCTGGTGAAGGTATGTGGGAACTGTGGCCAGATAGTTGTGAGAAGGTGCCTAGGTGAATGTGGCCTGTGGATCGTTGGGAGAGAAACTACTTTTTTATTGTGTCTTGCTAAAGTCGTGATCTCCTGGCTGCTGAGCAGACAGCTCTATCTCAGCATTCTGCTGTTTGCTGCTTGCCTTCAGTCTTCACTCCGAAACTGGGGTTAGCTGTGATGGGTGATCTTTCCTTCCTGACCTTGTCTGCTCTGTCTCCAGGTGGGCTTTCCCTCTAAAACAGACAGCCCCAGTTGTGAATATTCCCGCTTTGATTTTGACAGTGATGAGGACTTCAATGCCTTCTTCAACTGTAAGTTGCCGTGCTCCAGTGCAGATGCTCTTGTCTGTGCCTTTCTGTTTTAAAGATTTAAGTTGCATCTGTAGTCAGCAAGCTTATTCTTTCATGTGGTCATGTACTGGAATATTTTGGGAACAAATGAAATTCCTATTCTGTAGTTTGTTTTCAGTATCATAGAATCATAGGGCTCAGATTCTGATGTGGAAACATGCATAATCTTTCAGTATCTTTTCTATATCACACAGAAGCTTTCAGTATCTTTGAAGTCGAAAACAAGACTACTTTGGGGTTTTTGAGTTTGCATTAGTTTGTCAGCCTAGAAACTGAACTGGGTTAAGTTGAATAAGGTAGAAAAATGTGCTTATCTGAAGTGGTAGTTGTCTAATGCTGCTTTTCTGTCTCAAGGTGCAGCAAAAATGTTTGAAGATTTTACTTTTTGATTTTATTTTTTTTTTTTTAGTGAAAAAGAGGCTTAATTGTAGTAAATCTGGCTTAAACATAGACTTCCATAATTCATATTGCGTTTTAATTGCACTTCTTTTTATGTTAATCCATCACTATTTTTAGTCCATTTAAATCACTTACGTTTCCCATTCTGTTATACCTAGTTTACTGGCTGTATATCTGAGCTTACTGCACAGCTGTTGCCAGAGCAGCAGTCCATAATGTTCCCAGGTCTGCTTTGGGGAAGGGAGCATTTGCAGCATCAGCTTGTTTCATGGTGTCTTGTTTTCCACCACAGCTTTCCGAGCCCAGCAAGGAGAGGTGATGAGGATGGCATGTCGCCTGGACCCTCGAACTGGCTTTCAGATGGCTGGTGAATGGCTGAAGTACCAACTCACAACTCCTGTTGATACTGGACCCATGAACTGTAAGTTACCTGAAAAAACAAGACTGATACGGGGTTTGATTTTTAATTCAAGCCAAGAAGCAGCTTTTTTGCCTTTTTTTTAAAGGGTGGACCAAGACTTAACACAAAGTTTTCAGGCTTTAAGATCTTTGAAAGTTAAAAACAAAATCAAATCAAGCTCATTCCTCCCCACATTTAACCCTTTACAGCCTACCTGTGGAACAGCTAATGTAATGCCCCTGGTTCCTCCTTTCCTTCCCCCAAATCCCTCTGCAAATCAGATGCAGCTGTCACTCTGATATAGTTTTACGATTATTTGAGCCTTATTATCTCCGTAACATTATTTTTTTTTGTGCAGGGGAGTTCTGCCTTTCTGTCAAATCCCTTTGTCAGTCACGCTGCTTTCCCCCTGTGAAGGAAGGCCATTTGGTGCCTGCAGCGTCACGCTGAGGGCAGTCTTGCCTGCAGTGCTGAATCTGGGCATGTGGTCTCTCTCCTTTTCTTTTCTGTTCTATGATTTGTTGGTGTTGCTCCCTGTAGTATCTCAAATGTCAGACTTACATCTCAGGAGCCTTAGCTTGAATGAGGCAAATCACATGGGAGCACCTTAATTGCTCCCGTGCATCCCTGCCAGGCATCTGCAGGGATTGATATGTGTCCAAAATACTTGAGCGCTACGATGTTGCTGCGCAGGAGCTTATCAGCCTGCTGTTGTGCATGTGGGGAGGAGCATGGTGAGAGCTCTGGTGTTCTCTTCCTTTCAGCTAAAACAGGCGAAGGTCTCTGCTCCATCTTCTCTCCATCCTTTGTGCAGTGGGATGCCATGACCTTCTTCTCGGAGAGTGTCATCAGCCAGATGTTTCGAACCCTGGATAAAGACGTATGTATATCAGATGCTGTTTCGTGCTCTCCTGGCTTGTTCTCAGTTGGCAGGAGTGGGTTTTTTCAGCTATGGTGTCCTTGAAAAGTTTGTAGTAACTAGTTTCCTCCATGCAAAACCCTAGATTATATGTTGAAGACTCTTATGAGGAGTACTGACCCTTCTTTAGATGGGACTAAACTCATACTGGCTTATTCGGGCATATCTTCATTTTGGACACTATGCCATGAGAAGTGATAGAAGAGCACTCAGGCAGCATGCTTTGACATGTGCCTTGCTAGGGGAGGATTGCATAAGTGGAATTTTCCCATGTTTATTCTTTTTAATTATCCTCTGATTAGATTGTTTCATTTTTTTTAACTTTAAGTGAGAGAAACTCCTGCTCAGGGAGTGGGAGGCCAGAAGCAATTTCTTTCTACTTTTTGTGTTCAACAGCAGGCAAAACAGAAAGCTTTTTTTTTTTTCCTCAGTCTTATGTAGCCTGACTTGATTTCTTTTTTTGTTAAATTGGGCTGCTCATGGACTTCAGTTCATTGTTATAACCACAGTAAATTACTTGCATGGGTTGATATAGTTGGTTAAGCATGGAGTTTGTTGCACAGCGTTAAGAGGAGAATTGGGAGCCAAACTGAGAAAGAGGAAACTTGCCTTTCCCGGAGGTGCAAGCAGTAGTATGGGGACTTGAGTCTGACATCTCAAGACTGTCCTACCAACAATGGCAATGTTTCCATCCTTCTTTTTCCCTCAGGAATTGCACATAGCACACTGTTAAACAGAGGTTTATCCTGCTTTTCTTTCTGCTTTGAGAACAGTTGTGTTTAGCCGAGAGGCCTGATGCGCTAGCAGCAGCTCTGTGACCTAGGTCCAGGAGTTAGGCGATGTGTGCTACAGGCTGAAGTACTGAGTGTTGTCTCATTTTTTCTTTCCTCTTTGCTGACTTTTTAGGAAATTCCAGTGAATGATGGCATAGATCTGCTGCAGCTTGTCCTTAATTTTGAAACAAAGGATCCTCTCATTCTGTCCTGTGTGCTTACCAATGTCTCTGCTCTCTTCCCATTTGTCACTTACCAACCAGAGTACCTACCACAAGTACTTTCCAAGGTAAGTACTTGCAGACCCTGCTAGAATCAGGTAGGCTTTTTGTGGTGCAAGGCCCTTGTACTAAACTGCAGGAGTTAATCCTCTTGGTGTTACTGTTGGGGAAGGACTATGCTTCATGTTAAAGATGTGAAAAACTGAGATTGAGTCTTGTTCAAGAAGAAACAATGTCAAATAACACAAATTTTGCAGTTCCTACCCTTAAATCTTAGCATTAAGTGCACACTCTGGCCAGTAAACACCATTTTTTTATTTCAAGGCCTCACTGTGCTGATGATTCATCTTTCAACTTAGTTGAGAGTTCTTCATTGACTGTAATGAAATTGCACTGAAGTCTTATGATCTCTCTTTGAGCTCAAAACACGTGCATGCTAGATATTAACAAATGATATGAGTTTTTGGATCTTCTCTCCCTTTTCTCACAGCTGTTTGCTTCAGTTACCTTTGAAGTTATAGAAGAAAGTAAGGTATGTCTGAATTATTATCTGCTAATGAGCTGTAACAGTTGGATCAAATTATATCCTATTTGAGAACATGCTGGGTCTGAAGACTTTGCTGTAATAGGCTTCTCAAGTGTAGCTCCTGGAAAGGGCTGGGAAGTCTAGATATAACTGATCTCTTCTTGGTTGACACAGCCTAATAAGCTTGTGCTCACAAACTTAGAAGGCCACAAGTATGGTGTAAGGCCAGCGTACTTAGTCTGGCCTGGTCTATGCTGGCCTTCTTGAAAGTGAAATCCCTTCATTAGCTGTGGGTATTCTTCAGTATTTGGTATATGTGGCTGTGAAGGATGGCTGTAAAGCTGCCAGCTACCTAAGGAGTGCTTGGGGGTCTTAAAATAGTGAGATCCATGACATTCTTGCTCCTGGAGTACAGCTCGTTTGAACATGGGCTTCTTGAGGTGGCTACAGCTCCAGGGGAAATTTGTTGGGTGATTGTTTGGGATGGGAGGTGTGGAAGTGCTTTTTTGATCTGTACTCAACAGTGCTTAAAACTGTATGTAATGCATTTGTCTCTTGAAAATCCCTGCATTTTTCTGAACTTTTGTTTTGTTGCATTGAAGTTTGTTATGTCTGTCCAGGCTCCTAGAACTCGAGCAGTGAAGAATGTGAGAAGGCATGCATGCTCCTCAATCATAAAGATGTGTCGGGATTACCCTCAGCTTGTCCTGGTATGTAAATGCAACTGTATCATGAAGAGTCTTGCCTCAGTTTCAGCTGGATTTTGTGGGATCTTCAGCTTCTTTGGCTATAGCCTCTATTTTCCTTCCAAGCAACATTACTGCTGTGCAAATGGCAAAGTGTTTTATTCCCTGCACCTCCCTTCTTCCCCACCCCACCTCTGAAAAAATTTCTGCCTGAAGAGTTGATCTGTAAGGTGATCAGTTAAATGCAAAAAGGATTAGGAGGAGGATGCAAGCAGCACTAGATTTGTTTTATTGGAATGTTTGCAGAACTTCCCTTTTGTCACTTGTGGTGGGCTATGTTCATTCCTTAGCTGAAGACGCCAGCAGTAACTGATCTCCAGACTTCTGTCACTTAACAGAACATTGGAGCAAGAGGAGAGTATTTATTTTCCAGATTATTTTGAGGAGACTAGAAAAAACAAACGTTTAAAATTCATGAGCCAGTGTTTCATTTGGTCTTGCTGAACTAAACAGCCTGCCCACAGCATGCAGCTGTGAACTCCTTTCTTTAGCAGTGTTTGTGTGGAATGGCTCTAGGACCGTGGGAGCACCATGGGACATTGTTAGCTTAAACAAAGACATTTTTTGAGGATGGTAGTTAACGTAATTCCAGTCTGCATTCTGCAGTAGCTGCCAAGAACTAGTGGGTTTGTCTTTGTCCCACTCCACTGGTCCTTGAACTACAGGTGGCTAGTTCCCGTGGCCAGCCAAACATCCTTTCTGGAAGAGCCAAGGGCCCAGAGCTGCCATAGAATATCTTTGGATGACTTTGTTGAAGGGCACAATTGCTAGTGTTTATAGAAAGTTACAGGCAGACATGGTTGTGTCTAGAGTGGGTAGGGAAGAAGCGCAACCATTCCCATAGAGAGAGCGATAACCACGAGTTGTTACTAACCTAGTTTTGAGCAAAGAGATAGAAGAGTCGTGAGTCTCGCACTTGAGAGCCAAAGGAGCAAGATGCTTTCTATGAGCAAACAAAAGCACCAGAGCTCTTCAGAGGTGTGATGCTGCTGTAGGGAATATGACTGCCTAGAAGAAGGAGATTTCCTCTGCTTATTTTGGTCATTCTGGAGACTAAAGTAAACTGGATGCAGGATATAATGATAGGGTGATAGGGAAGAAAAGAGGCTCTTTTAGACTGAATATTTGGAGAAACTTGAGTCTTGGGAGATAGCAATGTAGAGGAGGGTAAGGTAGACATGCTTCTCCAGCTGTACTGCATAGTACAGTACACCCCACCTGCCTCCCCCAGTGACCCCACCTCCACACCAAATGCATGACACTCTTCCACTTGGATGTGTTTTTTAGCCAAACTTTGAGATGTTGTACAACCACGTGAAGCAGCTGCTCTCCAATGAGCTCCTTCTGACACAGATGGAGAAGTGTGCTCTTATGGAGGCCCTCGTCCTCATTAGTAACCAGTTCAAGGACTATGAGCGGCAGAAAGCTTTCCTGGAGGAGCTCATGGCTCCTGTTGCTGGCTTATGGCTCTCCCCAGAGATGCAGAGGTATGGGTCCTTTTTCTGAGCTTTGAACTGGAGGCATTGTAGAGGTAATGCACAAGCCAGATGAGGGTGTTGGGGTGCCTTGTGACCTCGTCTGGTCTGAGCAGTCATGGTAACAAGTCTCCTGCAGTTTAGGAACTGCCCAATGAGTCTAAATGTTCTTTGTTGAAAATTGCCGGGTAAGACTTGTTCAAGGTGATAGAGGAACACTTCTTGCCAGCATGCTCAAAGCATTTGCATAAAACAAGAAACTTATGAAAATGAGTAAAGATACTCTTGCTCATGCCCAGGAGAAGCTAGGAAGCTGAGCTCTCATTACAAAAGCTGGGGTGTGCTGCAGCCCTGGGCAGCTTGGCATGGACAAGAGTTTTTCAAGCAGGACTATCTTCATAAGAGATTGAAAGGTTTTTGGTCCCCATGGCCCAAGGGAACTGCAGATATCTGGAGAGTGCACGTTTCTGGTGCTTTTTATTATGTTCCCACGTAGTGTGGAGCACCAGCTAGGCTCTAGCCTACTCTGTTTGTTGAGATGTTTATTGCCAGTATAAAGTTCTGCTCAAATTCCCTGCCCCAATGATCCCCATTGCTGCCTTTTGTTGCTGCCAGAGTCCTCTCAGATCCTGAAGCCTTTATCTCCTATGTGGGTGCTGACAACAAAATTGCTGATCCAGTCTTGGAAGATCCCAGTGGCCTGAACTTGAGTATCATTACCAGGAGAGGTGTATTCCTTAGCGAGATGGGACTTGCCTCCTTCCATCCCCCATTTCTGTTGTGGATACACACAAGGTCTTTTCTGATCGTCTTTTGGGTGCATATCAGTAAGTTTTTCAACCAATTGCAGAATAACAGACTGGCTTTTGCCGCTTTAAGCTGCAGCAGTGAGACTATAGGCCATGCAAACCCAGATTATTTAGCAGAGCAAAGCACACTGTTCCCCACTCTTTCTGTAGCAGAGTTTGGTTTTGTATTGTTTTTGGAAATACAGTGTAGTGAATTTCTCTTCAGAGTTTCAAGCCAGGCAGTATGGAAAGTGTCATGCTGAATCTGCAGCATGAAATATAATTAAAATTCATCTGCGGTGTTTTGTGTTGCTTGAATTGTTAGCGAAATGTGTCTGCTTCTTGGACAAACTGCAATGGAGTTGCTGTCTTTAGGTCTGCAGAAGACACTGAAGTGCAGCCCACAGAGCTGTGCTTGTGATTTGGGGCTATTGCAGTTTGACCACTGTGTCATCACAGATTTCTACGTTCATCCCAGCACATGAAGCAGATCAGAAGCTGATGGTGTAGACTTTTCCTTTTAGAGGGTAACCTACCTGGTTGGTTGCATGCTTACAAGACCATATGCATTGATGCTTTCTCTAATAGCGAGTTCCTAGGCCATCCTGCCCTGGCCAAGGGTCACTGAAGATGATGGAACATAGCACAATCGTTTCCTGCTATTTTCTTAGCAACAAACCCAGTGGAGTTTGTTCTTGTTGCCAGATTAGGCTTATTGTAGAGCATCCCTTTGAGATGGGTTGATGATGGGTTCCTCTGAAAACCTGTTTATTCAGGTTGTTCTGTGGCTAAAAATCGATTTCTTCGCATCTCTTCCTGCAGATAAGCTTTTGCGTGTACACCATTCTAGGAGTTGTGAAACGAGCTCGTTGGCCTGCTGCTCCCGAAGAGGCAAAAGCTGGAGGATTCTTGGTGGGATACATGCCCAGTGGAAGTCCAATCTACCGTAATCCCTGCACTGAACAGGTCCTGAAGCTGCTTGACAATTTACTTGCTCTTATAAGGTGGGTCAAGTTGACTTGAAATTGTTTATGTTGACTTAAGAACCTGTGAAAGCTGAACTGTGATAATACATGGAATGCTCAGAGCATGTTCACCCAGGGAAGCCAGCAGGAACACAGGCTGGTGCAGGTGCCCAAGTACTGTTCCTGACTGTTCACAGTGGGGAATGGCACTGGGGAAACTGGAGCCTTCTGAATGTTCGTTGGCCTGGCCTACAAGAGTCCATCAAAGCCAATGGGAGCTTGGGCTGGGGTTGCCTCCCCCACCTCCACTGCTATAAATCTGCCACCCAGTTAATCGTTTCTCGACTAACATCTCTGCTCTGCCCTCAGCCCCTGCAAGGCCACCTCTCCAGTCACCACCAGGGCAGTCCCAGCTCTCATCGCATCCTGTTTGCGTTGTTCTGTCTTCAGTGTTAAATTAAGCTGGTTTTGCTGAACATGAACACCAGCCTCCTGAAGCACTGTCTGCTATTGAAATCAGTGGATGCATACTCTCAGGCTGTTGCTATCTTGCAGTGCCTCTCTGCACATTGCTGTTGTGTACATCTGGGGCAGCCAGAGAAGGGGGCAGGAGAAAGCAGAAAAAGAGAATCCTGAATAATCCAGCTCCAGATAATAATTCTGAATAATCCAGTTCCCAGAATTACAAAGGAGGAGTGTGTCTCAGGGTAACTGCTGACCCTGGGATTTTGCCAGGCTTATGGGGCAGTTTTGTGAGGTAATGCTACATGTTACATGCTTGAAATCTTGAGGCTCTGTCCTTGGCAGGAGCCTGTTGGGAAAGAGCATTTGCAGATCCACTTTGATTTTTCAGCTCCCGGGTCTGTGAGGAAAGGGGCCCCATTCTCAGGCTCTATCTAGTCATGTATGTTCGGTAGTCACTTAGCTCAGGATTGTCCTGCTTCCAGTTGAGAAGCAAAATGCTGGACAGGTAGGACAAGCACATGCTGCTTTGGCCCACCCTAGCAAAGCTCTGTGTAGCACAGCAGGTGGTACTTTGGCCAGTGAGGGTTGAACCATCTTGTGAGAGCTGTGGAGTTGTGCTTGAAGTGGTTTTATCCTGGAAGGCTGAAGATCCTATCAACAGGTGGAGTTGTTTGAGTCAAAATAGCCTCATGCCATTTCCTCCAGAGCCTGGAACACGCTCCATATTGTGAGAGACCAACAAAACCAGTGCCCAGGGTCTGAAGAGGCTGCAGCAGACAGAGTTTTTGCTTGTGCGATTGCTCTTCTTGGTGGAGCGTGGGCGTTATTAAAAACACTTGGATCTGTGTTACAGGCAGCTTAGGAAACTACTGTCAAACTCTGTCGCTACCTGGAAAGAAGCAGAAAATCTGTGCCGTATTGTTTACCACCTCCAGGAAGACACATGAGCTCTGTTCTCTTGCCAGTGCTTTCCCATGTACCAAAAGGAAGAGGCTCCCTGGCTGGTTTTTGAATAATGCGTCTATGTTGTTCAAGCATCTTCCCTGCAGAGCAAAATCTCTAAGCACTTTGTAGTAACATACATGGAGCAGCCTGTACTTCACTCACAGGTGTCCAGACTTTTCTTAAGGTCGAATGCTCCAACAAGAACCAATGAATGATGTATTAAGAGCAGTAGATCTGCCACCTCACACCTTTCTTGGCTGCTGCTGGATGTGGAGGCCTCTGTGTGTGACAACTGCAAGCTCAGTTCATTGCAAATGTCGATGATGCTTATGTCTTTTTAGAGAAGTTAGAGCTTGTGGTGAGTTAGAGCTTGGAGCTTCTGGTGTGTTTTTTGCTGGCTTTGAGTGCCTTTTCCATGTGCTGCTTCCACCGGCTCTCTTTAATACAGATTACACAAGAGAATGTGGAAACTGTGTCAGCAGGTAGGAAATACAGGGATATGAGGAACTCTGGTTGACAGGAAAGCCTGTGTTGAGGATGCCTTCAGGAACATAGTGCATTACTACTTAGGGATGGGTGCTTCCTTTAGCTCTGAGCCATTAGGCAGCTTTCTGTGGGCATAAGCAAGGCCCAGTGTTGCTCGTGTGCTTATGCAGGAAGCAGATGTGGAAAACCTCACAGATTACTGTGTGAGCAGATCTGCAGATGGCAACAGCATGGCTCCTGCTGAGAGCTCAACTGAGCACCCAGGTGGGCACCAGTATGCAAAAAAAGGCATTCTTAAGCCATTGGGGTCTCTTCGAGGGTAAATAGCTGGAAGGGTAGGTCATGGATGAGATGAAAGATTAGGAGGAATGAGAGGGAGTCCAGGTAACAAGGAAAAGTATGGTAGTTTTAAGTGGCATCTTTTTGTGCCTACCCATATTTGTCTCTGTCTTTGGTAGCTGTATTTACCAAAGTACTTTTAGGCTGCTTTGTTAACGACTGCTTGCAGCTTTTTGAGCGATGATTCTCTTGTCCTCTGTGGTACCTGTTTTCACCTAGGTGCTTTCTACCTTCTGGCTTAAATTGCCCAGTCATGAATTTAAACCCAAGTCATGATCTCCAGCCACCTTTAGATAAAGGCACATTTCTGGAGTCAGTAGCTGCATGAACTGATTGGCTCGGTACCTTTATTGTGCTGGGATTTGCTTGTGTTGTTACAAATGGACTGGTCAGGCTCAGCAAATGCTTTGCATGGACAAAGGCTTTTTTGGAACTCCTCTTGGTGTGATGCCGACATTACCAAGGCATTAATGCTGGTGAAAGAATTGTTGGAGAGACATGAATGCTGTAGGCGTTTTCACTGTAGACATCTCCAGCTTTGGATAAAGATTTTTCAAGCATGGACTGTTCTAAAGGACTCATCTTCTGGCCTTCAAGCCCACCTCGCTAGGCATCAGATGTTTTTTCCAGCAGAGCTGTGACTATCACTGAAAATCCCCCAAGGCCATATCCTTTGCTTGTCTTTTCTAAAGCATAAATGTCTCTAAAATTTTGTTTTTCCATGTTCTCCTGTGTGTGGGATGCCCAGGAGTGCCACTCACTGCCAAGAGTCTCAGCTGGAACATGCCTATGCCTAGGGGCTACATCTTCATCGTATATGAGGGCTTTTGGATGCTTTTTGAACTCCCATGGGGAGCAGCTAATGAGCCACTTTCTCTCAGTTACCACTGGGGACCTTGCTCATGTATGAATTAAGGGAGACTGGCCTTGAATTGAGTGAACATCAGCCCTTCCACCTGTCCAACCTGAGAAAATGCTTCAAGGACTCTGAAACAACTAAGAACCATGAACACAGCTTCAGGATATGACTGGCCCATCCTGCTGAGATTAGAGCAGTGGGATTTCAAGGTTCATTTCAGTCCTTGGGTTTGCCCCGCTGCCCTTCTGCCCAGCATGAGGCAAAGCCAACACTGGCACGGGGCAGGCAGGAGACATAGGAGAGGAGATGATTTTAATAGCCAGGTTTCAGGATAGCCTCAAGCAGAAATGCCGTTTTCGGAGTCAGTGGAACAATATTATCCAAACTATTATGGAGGCTGGGCTGCTTCCTGGCTCCTCTTGGGAAGGTAAAACCAGCTTGTGCCCCCTTTGAGGCCTGTTGCATGGTGTTAGATCCAGCCCAGAATGAGAGTATGAGTCGTTAAGAAGTCATTTGTGTAGCTCTTTCTTACAAAACTTACATACTTGCCTTCCTCACATGCAGTGAGCAGGGAAGTATTAAAAACTTGCAGAGAGAACTGGGATAGTTGACGTTTTGGAGGTAACTGAGGCAGACATCACTGCATCGGGGGTGCCAGGATTGTGAACATAGACCTGCCAAAACAAAATTAAATAAAAACAAAATTAAAAATGATTAAGACAGGAGTGAAAGCTGAGACTCTGGAGAACATACTGAGGTCTGTCCACGCTCCCTTCCCCCAGCCATTCCCATGTACCCCCCTGCTTTGGGAAATGCTGCTCTAGGGGGAGATACTGAGTTGCCCTTGATCACCTCTAGCAGCAGGTACAATGGCATTGCAGTTTTGGAGGAGGCTGCAGGATTTGTGCTGTGTGCAGCTGGCGACACCCAGAGTGGAGGTCTGAGGTCTCAAAGGAGAGAGGTAGGTGAGAGAGACACCCCCCGACGAGTCCAGCGCTGAGTGTCAGTACCCTGGCTTAGAGGGGACCCATTTTGGCCTGGATGGCAAGAGCCAGCCACCCGTGGCTGAATTGGTGTCCCTCGCGGAGAGCTGACCATGGCCACCTCCTGATGATGCGGAATTGTTCCCAGCTGGATGTGTTGTCCAGGGGGCACCTGTGTCTGCCACGAGTAACATCTGATCGGACTGATGTTCTCCCTAGAGTCCCTCCAGTGCCACCTGCCATTCTGGGGGCTGTGACCCATCCTTGGGGGGCAGTGTGTGTGTTTTGGAGCTGAAACAGCCCCTCCCTCTGCAGGGGCCTTAGGTGCAGAAGGTCTTTTGAGATTACAGAATCCGCGTCTTGTCAGTTTTTGAAATACATTCTCTGATCCCTTTGGCCAAGCTACCAAGCTGTTGCCAGCATCAACTGGAGAATTGCTGGGAGTTTTTACTGCTAGTGCTTGCAAGGGGTGGGGTGAACTGAAACAAGTGGAAGGGGCAGCCAGGAGATTCAGGACATGAGGTGGAATCACTCCATGTCTCTGTCGGGTCAGCTTCCCCAATATTTTTGCAGGTGGGGAAGGGGGATCCCATGCACACGTGCTTGGTCTCACCTTCCTCATCATCTGCCTCAGAAGAGCTGTTCACAAGCTGAAGGAGAGGATCCCACTGTCAAGGGCAAAAGGGTTAGACTCGCATGTATATAAACCAAGTGCTCTTCTGTTTCAGGACTCACAACAATCTCTACATGCCAGAGATGGTGGCTAGGCTGGGGGAAACTTTTGCAAAGGCCTTGGACATGCTGGAGGTGGAGAAGAATGCCATCCTAGGTAAGGGGCTTCTCTTTGGGAGGCATGTCTGGTCAGATTCTCAGAGGTATTTGAGGTAGTCGTCCATCAATAGCAGTGGAAGCGAAGAGGGGCTGGAGAGCCTTGTAGTATTCACAGCTCGGCTATGATTTGAACCTGCTGAAATGAAGAAGTTAAAAAAGTTATTGGTCTCAGATTGGTTTCTTCTGAATGAAATGAAGGTGCATGAAATGTGGTGGTTTCTGCAACATGGCATTTCAGAAAGTCTGCCTTTGAGCAGAATTAGTACTCAGCAGGATCCCTGAGTGCTGATGCAAAGACCTTTCCTGGAGGGCAAGAGCCAAGTCCTGCAGTATGGCCCTGACATTTGTTTCCAGATCATGTATTAGGTAGAGGCTTTTGGACCATCTTAAGACAAAACAGAGCTTATGAACACAGAAGCCTTCCCAGCCAAGTAGAAGTGGGCGGCCTTGTAGATAAAATGTGGACCATGACTTTAGAAATTGTGGTTTAATTTCTGATTCAGACAGTGAAATATTTCAGGGATGTTGCTTTGTCTTTCTTACCTCCATTTCCTGTCTGTAAAGTGAGGAGATGTTTCCTTTCCCTTTTTATAAACTCTGTGAACCACTGCATTTAAAGCAGCAGGGCCTTGATATCTGCTCTGAACTTTTTAATATCATAGTTTGGCATGTCCCAACAGAGATGAATGAGATGGGCTGTTAGAGAAGCTGCACAACCGTTGGCTTTGCTTCTGACTGGGTTCTGATAGCTCCAGTAAGTTTTGTTTTGGAGAAATGAGAGGACTGTGACAATCTTAGTGGGAACACTTCTGCTCTCGGTAGAACCAACCTGAACTTGGCTGACCTCTGAGGGAGGTTCTGCCCCAGGGTTGCTGCACCTCTTCCCATTTGGGTGCACGCTGATCTTGCCAAGTGCTTCCCTCACTGCTGTCAAGCTGGCTGGGGCCTGCCCATCATGTTCTGAAGGTGTACCATGTTCTCTCATTAATGTAGCTAAAGCTTATTCTCTCCCACAGGTCTCCCTCAGCCTCTGCTGGAGCTTTATGACTCTCCTGTTTACAAAACAGTCTTAGAAAGGATGCAGGGCTTCTTTTGTACCCTCTACGACAACTGGTAAGAGCACCACATATCTCACACAGAGTCAGACATTGCACAGCTGGAGCAGTAGTAGGCTATTGCTGGGTGCCAACTTCTTCTGGAGTTAGACTTCTCATGGGAGCTGTGTCCTATAACATCCAAGTAGGAGCTGCAGTGGTAAACTATACTTGGTGGTTGTAACCTACCACATACTCACGGAACGCAGTTGCTGGAAAAAGTACTTCGAATGTGGATCTGTTTTTAGCTTTTCTGCAGTTAGGTAGTGAGATTGAACCACCTACCCAATATCCTGCCCTAGTTTGTCTCTTTGCTACTTTTTTTTTAAATCATGTGTTAGAATACATCAGCAGTTGAAAGTGCATTTTTAGTGCTTAAATGCTTAATTCATTGTCCCTCTGCATGTATCCCAGGAAAAAAAAAAAAAAGGACACCCTGCTAAAATTCCTGCTAAAGTTTGTTTAAGAACATGGCAACTATCTGATCTCAAGATGATAGCACTTGTAGCCTTTGCAGGCCAGAGGCATGGTACCTGATATCTAGCAGACTTGCAACTAACTTGTTTTTTTTCTTGGAAGTTTCCACATCTTGGGAAATGCAGGCCCCTCCATGCAGCAGGATTTCTACACTGTTGAGGGTCTTGCCACCCAGCTCCTCAGCTCAGCTTTCATCAACCTCAACAACATTCCTGACTACAGACTCCGGCCCATGCTCCGTATCCTTCCATCACTGTCTCAGGCCAGCTAGGGAGGCTTTGAACACATAAATTAAAAACCTGCATGGTTTTTAGTATGGCCAAGCCAAAGAAGGGTGATTGAGGGGCTGAACAAACAGGGATGTACTCCTGGAGTGGGAGAGGTGTGAGCCTAGGAGGGCACGAGTAGAAACAGCAGTGCATGGGGTCAGAGAGAACAAATGCAAAGGGTTTGTGTCGTCCTGGAGGCACCATGAGAGGTGGGTAGTGCCTTCTGGGGATTAAGGTGGCTTGGACAGTGTAGGAGCTTGGCAGTAGGGTGTCTGACAAGATTTTGTGCTTGTGTGGAAGACCATCTGGGATTCCCAACCCACCTGCCAGGGGTGGACATTCAGTCTCACATCTAGGATATGGGCGCTAAGCACCCTCAGCTGAACTGTTGGGGAAGGGGCTGAATTACTTTATGCTCTCACTGTGCAGAGATGGCACCTTTTAATTCAGGGCTGTGAGGAGATGGGGTTTGAGGTGCCTGTCACTTGGCCTCCAGGGGAATGGGCTGGTTTGGGCAGTGTGCTGCAGTCTCCCTGACAGCTGGCCGTATGTGCTGGATCTCTTCCTTAACTGGCCTGTTCAGGTGTGTTTGTGAAGCCCTTGGTACTCTCCTGCCCTTCAGAATACTACGAAACCCTTGTCTGCCCCATGCTGGGACCACTCTTTACCTATCTGCACATGGTAAGAAAACGCCTTGTTCTTTGTCTGTTCTTTGGCAGCCCACACTCCTTGTAGCAGCTGGCAGCAATGTGCAAGAACATCTGTTTCTCCAAAGCCAGCAGAGACAAGGGCAGAGCCTTATGCTTAATGATTTTGATGCTGTTTGGCGGGGGGGCTTTTTCGGTGTGTTGAACCCTGGCTGTTGTGCAGCACCCCTTCCTGTGGTTTCAAACCTATGGATATTGGTTCCTCAGCCTTCAGTCCTGAGAATTTTTGTGGGGTTTTTGTTGCCTGTGTCCTCTCATTTTCCTGGCAGTTCACTCACATTCCTGCAGCCAGCACAGCCACAGCATCTTCAGCACAGTTGGTAGCAGTTCCTGTTCCATTCAAAATAGGTCTTGGTATGAGAGCTGTGTTTAAAGCTCTGTCAGCTTTAATGATAGCCCTTCTATCAGCAGCTGTCACTTGGGCCTCTGCATTGTGTCCCATGTGGCTCCTTAGGAAGGTGTTGAATCTTTTCTTTTGTCTTGGACAGAGGTTGTCTCAGAAATGGCAGGTGATCAACCAGCGAAGCATGCTCTGGTAAGCTTCCACCCCTTGGTGTGTGGGGGAAAAAGGGAGTGGGATGGAGATTTAGCCTTTTATGTGCCCCTTTCCAGCAAGGGCTGGAAAACATTGTCGACCCTGATGGTGACTTGTTCCTTATGCTTGGGCAGAGGGGATACTTTAAGGCATTGGCTCCCTTCACATTAAAACCTGTTCTCCTCAGTGAGGATGATGCTGCAGATGACAACCCCGAGTCTCAGGAGATGCTTGAGGAACAGCTGGTGAGGCTGCTGACCCGAGAAGTCATGGATCTCATCAGTAAGTGAAATCAACCTAGGTCCCCCTGGGATATTTGGGAAGTTTGCCCTGGAGAGGACAACAGGAATTTCCTGTGTGCAGTAAAACTTAACTATAGTTGCCAGTTCTGTTTAACATAATCCTTAGAAGGGTGTGAGACAGTTAACCCTGCCAAAATCTTAGCTAAAACCTAGTAAGAAATCAGTTAACAACCTTGAGAAAAGAGTTTCTTCCTTCTGTTTTCTCAGCATTTAGGGCTCCATTGTTTTGGCACTGTCCCTGTAGAGTCCAGTCCTCCTTTGGAATCTGGGTTCTGCCCTTCCATGCCCTGGAGCCCAATATGGGCATCAGTTTGTGGACAGCCTGAGTGTAGAGCATTTTTGTTGCTGGCCATTGCCAGACAGAAGGGAAAATTACCCCCTGCCAAAGCAGTCTCCCTTCTCTGTGTTCCTTTTCTCCAAGATCATATTTTTTTTTCAGTGTGGCTTTGAGCAGAGGCTGGGAAAATTGACCCTGCAGAGAGATTACAGATCCTCAACCTTCTATCTCCTTTCTTGATTGGCCTTGTTGCCTTAAGATGGTGGGTTCTCAGGTTATAGGCTTCAAATGGTTTTGCATGTTTCTGGTTCTCAGCAGGTTGGAGCAGTCACTGTGCAGCAGGTTCCACTGTGGGAGGATGCAGTGGGTGGGGTCTTTCAGCCTTACAGGCAGTGCAGTATCTGCCTTTTATACTGGGCTTTCAGATTCTTCAGGTGCTGTGTAAGAGCTGGGGGAGCCTGGAGCAGCTGTGAGCCCATCACACTGTTAGGATAATCTTTGCATGTTCTGAAGTAACATCTTGTGTTTTCTGCTCCTCTGACCTGCAGCTGTTTGCTGTGTTTCTAAGAAAGGTGTTGAGCATAACACTACTGCTGCTGTAGATGGAGATGGTGAGTAAATGACTGCCTTTGCCTGTCCCACCCTTGGTTATACGAGCACTTTTCCCATTTCTTCAAGCATTTCTTGAGGGTGAGGCTGGCTTTTTGCTGGAAGTTCTGGGTGGGGGGTATAGGTTTGGTAAGAAACCTTAAGCTCTGTCCTGCCCACTGTGCCTGGGGCCACAGAAAAACCCAGTCTAGCCTAGGAACAAAGGTGCTGTGGAGTTCACAGGTAGCATGTTGGGGCAGCTAATTCTTAAGGTACCAAAAAAAGGGGGATATGAGCAGTCTTCCCAAGAGCTGGAGGTAGCTAGTTGAGTGCCCTTCCTGCCCCACAAAGGATGGGTGCTTTCTGCTTAGAGAGAGATGTTCTGGGGAGCTGTGCCAGCGTACTGGTCCCAGCTTAGTTCTCACAGTGCTCCCCTGTGTCTTCCTCAGTCCTGGGGAGGCCACACTCACAGTGTTGCCTTTGCTCTGCTCTGCAGATGATGAGGCCATGGCCACGGAGGTGACTCCCCCTGCCAGCGCAGAGCTCACCGAGCTCGGCAAGTGTCTGATGACACAAGAGGTAAGAGCACAGGCTCAGATCATTGTTTCTCTCTGCTCTGTGTCACACTTGCCTGTGGTGCAGCCAGGCGCTGCTACGGATTGCTGGGCTGCTGGAGCATTCCCCAGTGTGAGAATCTTCTCTTCGGAACATATATAGTTTCTTTAAGGGCCTTGTTAATGGTTGCAGAAGCCACAAAGCAAATAGTAATTGGGATCCAGTGTAATATGCAGCTGCAGTGTTTCAGCCCTTCTACAGGCGAGGCCCTGGGCATTCAGCCCCCAAGGCTCTGCCTCCATCTGTTGCTCCAGCCTTTACAAGGAAGAACTTCACCCAGCAACTCTGTTTTTCTGTAAAAGTCTGCCAGAGCTGGCACAGGAGCTGCAGTATTAACACAACCCACTGTGCAGGTGCCTTCATCCCAATACCTGTCCTCTTCCTCTGCTGTGGATGCCTCAGAAGGTTTTGCAGTGACTTGGGAGTAGCAGCTGATGAGTGCTCCAGGGCTTGACCTTGGTTCCTTATGGCAGTGTGTGTCTTTGAGCACCTTCAGCTGGAGCAGCAGTATGCCGGATTCTCAGAAGATAGCCCTGAAGAGCTCCTGCAGAGTCTCTGGATTGCTTCTTGGCTCCCTTCAAATTTGAACCCTGGAGGTGAGAAACAGTTCCTCTGACTGGTTTCCCTCTCTGACTCCTTTTCAGGATGTTTGCACAGCACTGCTGATCACTGCCTACACATCTCTCTCCTGGAAAGACACCTTGTCCTGCCAAAGAACTACAACACAGCTTTGCTGGCCGCTGCTCAAACAGGTACCTCTAGGAGGAAGAAGGGGTTAGTTCTGGCAGGGTTGGGAGGGGAAGCTCTTGGATGTGGTGAGAAGCCTGGCTGCTTCACCCCTGGGCGCCTCCCTCAGGCAGACCAAGCTGCTGCAGAAGGCAGTCGTGTCAGTATCCTGCTTCCATGCTGACAGTGCCTTTTCCCCAGGTCCTTCAAGGAAACCTGCTGCCCGATGCTGTGTCCTGGTTCTTTGCAAGCGTGCTGAAGGGCTTACAGACACACGGGCAGCACAATGGCTGCATGGCAGCTCTTGTCCACCTGGCTTTCCAGATCTACGAGGCCTTGGTGAGAAATGCTGCTCTTGATCCAGATGCCAGGTTGGCTGGGGAGCGGTGGAAAGTTAATCCCATACCTGCTTGGGTAGGGGCAGAGGAGTTACTGCCCCGCCAAGGAGGGCAGGGCTGTTTCCCTAGAACGCTAAACAGGACTGTGTTCACCATACTTCTCCCTGCAGCGCCCTCGCTACACTGAGCTGAAGGCAGTGATGGAGCAGATCCCAGACATCCAGAGGGACTCTTTGGAGCAGTTTGATTCAAAGCTTCTCAACCCAACACTGCAGAAGGTGGCAGACAAGCGCCGGAAGGATCATTTCAAGCGCCTCATCACAGGTTGCATTGGGGTAGGTGATATCCTGGAGGATAATGAACCTGTATCATTTCACACCCGTATGCCGTAGAGTGATGGGGTGGCCAGCCTGCCTACCTGCCTCTCCCCAGCTGCCCCCCATCCCAGCTAGGAGGCTGTTGTAGCATATTCTCAGTGTTTGTTGTGTCTCTCTTTAACTTAGAGGTACAGCAGGGATGGCAGCACAGGCTGAGCAGCCCCTCCAGCAGTGACTTCTCACTGAGAGGCAGGGGGTACCTTGAAGAGGGTGCCTGGGAAAACAGGGTGTTAAAATGTTTGAATGAAGCTGCTAGGTGGGTGCTGGGCTCTTTTTGAGGGTGGTAGGGTTCGAGCCTGCTGGCACTGCATTACCAGCTGGGGAGCTGGTGCGCTGGTTGTTAGCTCAGTGCCCCGACACTTGGGAAGGACCAGGCCCGAGATGCCCCAAGATGCATGCATGGGGTCTGGGCCTAGGGACTGCTCAGAATCCAGGGTCTGCCTCTGATCTGCAAGCAGACTGCCACTGAGTTGAGTTGGGGAACGAAGGGAGTGATGACTGATGCCTGCCTCTCTGTCCTCTGCAGAAGCCCCTTGGGGAGCAGTTCCGCAAGGAGGTTCATATCCGGAACCTCCCATCTCTCTTCAAAAAGGTCAAGCCATCACTGGAGGTGGATGTGCTAGAAAATGAGGATGGAGAGGGCCTCACTGCACTCTTTGAGTCCTGAGCCTGGGATGCTGCAACCATCTCCTCTTCTACCTTTTATTTTGTCTCTCCTCATAGTAAGCACATTAGATTCTTCTCATCATCACCTCCACAAACATTCATCTGAATAAAGCCCCTTATGGGTCCTGTCCCATTCTCCTCCCTACACTGGGATGGGGCCTATGGCGGCAATATGAACCACTCTATTAAGCTTTCCCTGCTTCCTTCCCCTCCATTGATGAGCACCTTTAGACCTCTGCTTCTGTGCAAGGTGGGAGCTGAGCCCGTAGACTCCATTAGGTAAAGCCTGGTCATCCTGTAGCCTTGGGTGACTTTTGCTCCACCTTTCCATCCCTGGGGTTTAGGATTAATGCAAAGGGCAGAGTAGTGCGCTGTGTGGAAAGGGGTTACCCTTCTTTTCCTCTGGGTGCTAGCAGCCAGGCTTTGCAGGGAGACACCAGACACTCCTGTCATGCCTGTCAGCACTTGTCCCCAGTGGACTGGTGTTCTGATGGATCCGTTTCCCTCCAGGACACTAAGCCTTGGGCTGAGGGCTGTGTGCCAGGAAGCCTCACAGTGCTCTAGGATCTCCTTCGAGATCAGCCTTTCTGAGGTGCAGCTGCTCTCTAGAAAGAGGCAGACATTGTCATACGTATATATACATACATATGTGTATATATATGATCATAGAACTTGTTCTACCCAGAGCCAAACGGAAGGCTTTTCCTTTGTGCCAGCCTTTCCTGGACATCTCTCAGGGGGAGCAGGACAGTTTTTTTTTAATTATCTTTTCTTTTTACCATGCCCTGTAGACTAGAACATGGCCAGTGCAGGGCATACAAAACCTGGACCAATACCTGAAGCACCTGCAAACCAAAAGGGATCTCCTTACCCTGTTGCTGTGGAGGTGATAGTAGCCTGTGTTTTTACCCAGTCTGGTACTTCTTGGAGAATTGTATGGTGGGGCTGGTGGGGTGGGTTTACACTGCAGTTTACGGGGAGGAGTCAGGTCAGAAACTGGGTTTTAGATGAGGTGGGGCTCTGTAAAGCCACTCCAGTCTGCAAAGCTGGTGGTTCTTGACATGACAAATGGTTCACTCGACCTGTCCTAGTGTTAGCACAGGAGCTGGGAGGGTCTGTCCACAGCTATCTGGCAGTTTTGATAACTACCAGTGATAAACTGTGGCAGGCAGTTAAGGTGGTGTCTCCACCTGGACAGACTGGATAGAAGAGCTGGGGTTGGGAAGGATGGGAGCACAGAAAGGAAGAG